TGGAAAGGACTTGGGTTTGTGTTCCACCATGTGGAAAAAAATACACTGTGTATTGCATTAATTTTGTTCCTTCCCTATTTTTTTTAGGACAGATGTGGGGTCATTTTTACAATTTGGGTGCTCCACTCACTAGTTTTCTTGCAGAGCTGTTGACTCTCATAACTTGGCAGATCTCAGCAGTCTTTTCTTTAAGTTCTGGAAAAGTGCATATTTTCCAGAAGATTCAGCTCTACCATTGAGTTAGGAGTACAAGAACACTTAAGTACCTTTGTTTTAAATAATAGTTTGTTTCATAAATGTAATCTGTGGATCTGTATTGTTGTGTCTGCCAGCACCATTCATCATGTGCTTGTTGCTGTGCAGTCAGAGTTCTACAGAACATCCACCCTCCCTCTCCAAATGGAAACAAGTTCCCACCACAGAAAGCTTTCAACCCAAGTTAAATGACAATTGTTGGGGGAGCATGAAGAAAGACATGGCATTAATCAACTGTGAGGTGGGGTTTTCAGCAGGGAAGGGAGAATATAAATGATCTGAAACTGGCTGAAGAGTTGTATTACTGGGACATATGGATGATATATGAATATTGAGATTGTATGGAAGAATATTGGAAGAGGTTCTGTTTCAAAACCTAATTATACTGCTGATATCTAGTGGTATTAGGCTGATACTTTCAGCTGATTTGGAGGGTGTTTGTTGTCTTGATGGACTTTTAAAGTCTGGGACTGATGAGATGGATGTAGTTTGGCAGAAGGAAGAAGTGCTGAGGCAGTAGAAATATTGTCAAAGCAGTGGTGTGAGGAAATGGTCTGAATACAGAGGGTGGGATGAGCTGGTGTTAGCCAATACCAGAGTAATGACAGGTAAGGGTCTGGAGCAAGAAACTGCTTTGTCTGTACGTAGAATCTTTCTAGACAAATGTCATTAAGTTCTGAAAGAGATTTAAGAAGTGTCACCTAAGAGGGTCAGAGCACTTGCGCTGTGGTAAAGTTAGTGATTTGTGATTATTTTCTGAGAGCTGTTTAAACTCAGTTCTACAGAGTGTTAACCCTGGGTGCTGTTAGGCCCCCAAACCCTATTAGGTTTGATAGTTAATCCTGAGTTTACAGCTAACCTTATCTAGCTAAAATTATATCAGGTGCTGATTTAAGAAGAGAACATCGACCTCTTTCCCTACTTTTAACAAATCTTGAAAGGGAGGAATTTTGGTTTGCACTGACATTTAAAAGGAGGCAAGAGCTCCACCTCTGCCACAGAGATGGATCTGTATATTTCTGTGTGGTAACAGCAAATAACAGACCCATGCAAGGAAATATTCTTTGCTTCCTATCCCCTGTGTAGCTGAGGGTTGGAAGCAGGACTAGAAGACAACAGTAGAGCTGGCCACCTGAAGATGTGTCATGACAAAGAGAGATTAGCTTTGCCAAGTGACTGAGATACTTATTCTCTTTAGGAAATAAATACCCCTAGGAAATTAAAAAAAGTTGTCTCTCCAGTATTCACAACTCTGTAAAGGTCTCCTAAGGCAGCCTGTGTTTCTTTTAACCAGTCACCTGTTTTCAATTAAAAGGTAATGGCCATGTATTTAATTGCTAGCAGCCTCTTCCATTTTTTCTCTTTTGTATCCTGAAGGAGTCCAATAAAAAGCATTGCTGAAACAGCACTAACATTCATTACTCTTGAAAGAATGATGGACAGCATCTTGCCAAGTGATTTATTTAATTTTTAATCCATTCAGGTGATGTTACAGAATTATAGAATCATTTAAGATGGAAATGAGCTTTGAGATCAAGTCCAACCCTTAACCCAGCACTGGCAAGTCCACCACTAAACTAAGTCCCCAAGTGCCACCTCTACATGTCTTTTAAATACTTACAGGGATGGTGACTCCACCACTTCCCTGGGCAGCCTATTCCAATGCTTGACAACCCTTTCCATGAAGAAATTTTTCCTAAAATCCAACCTAAACCTCCCAACCTGAAGCCATTTCCTCTTGTCCTATTGCTTATTACTTGAGAGAAGAGACCGATCCCCACCTGGCTACAGCCTCCTTTCAGTTATTTGTAGAGAGCGATAAGGTCTGAGCCTCCTTTTCTCCAGGCTACAGAACTCCAGCTCCTCAGCTGCTCCTTTGCTGCTTTGTTGCCCTTCTCTGGACACATTCCAAGCACTCAATGTCTTTCTTGTAGTGAGGGGCCCAAAACTGGACACAGGATTCAAGGTGTGGCTTCACCAGTGCTGAGCACAGGGGAACAATCACTGCCCAGGTCCTGCTGGCCACACTGTTTCTGATACAGGCCAGAATGCCATTGGACTTCTTGGCCACCTGGGCACACTGATGGTTCATGTTCAGCTGCTGTAAACCAACACCTGCAGGTCCTTTTCTGCTGGGCAGCTTCCCAGCCACTGTTCCCCTGGCCTTTAGTGCTGCCTGGCGTTGTTGTCACCCAAGTGCAGGACCCAGCACTTCACCTTATTGAACCTCATACAGCTGGGCTCAGCCCATTGATTCGGCCTGTCCACATCCCTCTGTAGAGCCATGCTAACCTCCAGCAGATCAACACTCCTGCCTAACTTGGTGACATCTGCAAACTTTTTAAGGATGCCCTCGATCCCCTCATCCAGATCACTGATAGATACTAAACAGACATGGCCCCAATACTGAGCCTTGGGGAACCCCACTAGTGACTGGCCATCAACTGAATGTACTCCATTCACCACCACTGCCTGGGCCTGGCCATCCAGCCAGCTTTATACCCAGTGAACAGAACACCCATCTGAGCCATAAGAAGCCAGTTTCTCCAGGAGAATGCTGTGGGAGACAGTATCAAAAGTTTTACTAAAGTTCCAAGTAGACAACATCCACAGCCTTTCCCTCATCCATTAAGCAGATCACCTGGTCATATGTAGAAGGAGATAAGGTTAGTCATGTTACCATGTTATCAGAAACCTTTATCATTTATAGCTTCCTGTAATGTATGGTAAATGAGTGCTGTAACTCAGAAGGATTTCCTTGTTCATTCCCTATCTCCCTCCTCCCTAATCGCTATTGTTTGGGGGCACTGGGAAGGGAGGAGTTGCAATTCACAGGAAGCTTGCTGCTGGCAGTGTTCTTCCAGGCAGGGTTAAGTCCTGCTGTGCTTTGTCATTTCTCTTTGGTGAGCACTGGAACAGAGCTGACAGCCAATAACTGCCTGTTTCTGGGTGTTGCTGGGGTCTGTTAGCATTTCAGGTGTGTGCAGGAATCTTCAGCTAGGCAAGATCCTTGGAGAAGACAGTTGGAGGGATTTCTATGGACCACATTCTATACCAAGTGTCTTCTGCTAATTTCCAGCCCTTGCTGGAGCAGGGTGTACAGGGAGTACTTTTACAGGTTGGTTTGAATATCTCTCACTTTTTGTGAAGGAGTGAATTAGTTTGGCTACTAAAAGAACAGTTTCCATCCTCATTGGACTGTGAAAAAAATCTGTCTTGGTAGATCACATCAATCTTTTCTGTGGTCTGGAGGATAAGCAAAGTAATTGTTAGTAATTGTTTCTTTCTTTTACGTAGGTAAATATGTTCTAGAGGAACATATAGGTGTAGGTGGATATGATCTAGGAAAGAGAATTTTTTTGGTGTCTTAAGACACACTGATATAAATATAAAGCACAGAATCGTTTCTGATATTTAAGTTCCTATAGTCTGTCCTGACTTGCAGATGTAGGTACTGTAGTGCTTGCAGAGATCACTTGTCTTTTACAAATATTTGGATGTTTTTAAAAATCCCAAGGAGAAGAGGCCAACTTTTTGGCCTTTGCTTTAATTCTGTACCAAGGAATTGCTGTAACTTAGGCTCAAGGTTTTCAATTAAGACTCTGGGGTATAAGGTGAATGAATTTTCAGAAGGTATTGTGGTTAAAGAACCCTTTACCTTCTCTGGGAGCTTGAGCGAGTTTTCCCTGAGAGGCTTTGCAGGCTGATCTGTAGCTGGTAGAAACTGGCAGTTCTGATTCCTTCCCCGGCTCCCCACCCTTTCCTTCTAAGCCAAGCGAGGGTAAAAGGGCAGCTTTTATTTTAGCTTTACATTGTGGTTTAGGTTTCTATTCAGGTCTGTCAAACATTACATCACAGTATCTGAGCAAAGTTCTTTTGCACATGGGAACTTAGGACCATTAATTACAAGTAGCACTAAAAGTAGCAGAGTTACACAAGAATATAAATGCAAAGGTGGGCTAGTCCCATGAAGGGGAAGTTGCCTCAGGATCCACATATTTTAAAATTGCCATGCATGCCAAGAAGGTTGTTAAGGTTACTGTCTGTGTGAGTGCTGAAACTGTAAAAATTTGGGCAGAAAACAAACTACTGCTGTAGTTCTAAATGGGCATTTCTGTAGTATAGTTTGCATTTGTTTTATTTTTTTCTCTGGATGCTTTTCTTATTCCACTGTCATTAGTCCACATCTCATTATATACTCCTAGAGAGTACATTCCTCTTGCTTGTTAGGATGATGTAGGTGGTAACTTGCAGTAGTACAAAGGGCTGAAGGAGAGATAATCAGCTGGATAAGTCATTACTCTGTGCAGAGAATGACTTGCTGACTTGCTGCATACAGCTTACTTATCCCACATTCTTTAAGACATAAAATGTTGTAGGAATTGAAAATGTAATAGAAAAACTTTAACTTGCTTGCCTAGAAAGGAAAAAAAGGTATGGTCAAATGATGAATACCTGATAAAAGCTGTTAAGTTGAGAGTCTTGGATGGTGCAGTGAGTCTGGTGGAGCACAATTCAACACAGTAGCCTGAACTAAATAGTCTTATACAGTGCTGCATTTCTCTTGTTTTCTTTCTCACATATCTCACCCTGAATCCATGTCAAGGTACAGATGGTTCATTTGCTATGGTCTGACATAGCTCTGGTTATCACATGGCACTTCTCAGCAGTTTGTGCTAAATGTTTGAAACATTGGGTACTTCTTTCCTAAGCAGTGTTTCTCTTTCTTGTGTTTTATTTCCCAGCTATCCATTGCAATCTGAATCCAAATGGTATTGACCATCCTGTCCCCACAGAAGGTATTAATCTGCAACTCGAAGGTGAAGGAGTTGAATCGCCCTCAGTTAAGAACACTAGTGCTCCAAAAGGACCTGAGTCAAAAGAGACACCTAAGAGACAAGTGGAGCCAGAAATATCTAAGGTAGGTAGGACTGGATTCTTATTTATTCTGGGGAGTCTTAAAGAATCCAGGCTTCTTGAAGTCCTGACTGCTGCTTCAAAAGCATTTATAATTCTGTTAAAGACATAAAAATGTGCAAAAGTAACAGTCTGAGGAAGTGGATGTTACAGAAGCAAAGTATTGCCATGGAGTTCTAGCACACACACATCTTGGACATTGAACTATTTTATTTTTCTCTAAATGAAGATAATTAAAATACTGGAATCGCTCTTTTTCAGGCACTATGGAGACTTTTTTTTCCAAATGACTTGGGTAACAATCAGCATGGCAACAGATATGTTTTTCTTCAGTGTTTTTTTTTTTTGTTTACTTATTTACTTTTTCCTAGGGCAGGTAAAGGAAGAGAAAGGTTCTGTGGATATATGAGAATTTTTATAGGGGTGACTGATTTTAATAAACTGTTAACTTATTTTAGGTAAAATACTAGGCCAGCTCTTCCATGTCTGATATGATGGTGAACAAACATAGTTGAGAGGTGAATTCCTAAAAACAAATGTAGCATCTGTTCTTATTCATAAGCTGCTGCTTTTTGTTTGAGTGCAGCAGGCATGACTACCAAGTGCAGGTGAATGTGTGTGCTCCAGATACTTTGGGTATAGGACAAAAATTTGTCATATTAGATACGTTTTTAACTAGAATGAAAAGTAGGAGAATGTTATAAAAATAATTGTGAGAGATTCTTTAAAAGCTTTATCAGCCTTTTTGATCTTTAAAAGCTTAAAACCTTATGGTTTGAGGGTGATTTCTGCACAGTGGAAAATCGAGTTTTTACTGAATCTGACACTTTGAGAGTTAATAGAGCAAATAAAATGAGTGTCAAAAAAGGCAAGAGAAATTATTTCAATGACTGAACAAGTAGAAGTATTTCCTAATGCCAACAGTACAATAAATCTAACGAGTAATACACATATGGTTGGGACATATTTCACTTTTAAAATAAAATGTTTTGAGCAGTAGCCTTGACAATAAAGGCTTGGTATGAATTCTCCATTCTGATTTTTATCTAAAATATCTAGTTTTAAATTAATACAATTTACACTCATTCATTCTGACTTAATTCATCCAACTAGATCCACTACAGTTTGGCAATAATTAAAATCACTGCTACTTTTGCAGTGTATTTGGTGGCCATTATGAAGCATGTTGCTGATTTCTCTTGAATCCTTGGAGAACAGGTTTGTGCTTATGTGCTTTGAGTTATCCATTTGGTAACAAGACCACCAAATTTTGGATGGGCTTTGAGACAAAGCTCAGCTAATAATTTATTTACCCAGCTTTTCACAGAGAAAGACAAGCTAACCCTGCTCATGTTTCAACATTAGCAGATGAAAATCTGCCCTGTATTGAAAGCTGAGAAGGTGTGTTAAACTTGGAGCAGATCTTACAAGCTTGGGAGTGAAGAAGCTAAATGATGTAATTGGAAATGGGCTCATGTGTAGTTGACGTGGAACAGTCATATCAAACTTGTCTTTGCTTGCAAAAGACTTATCCTAATGAAAAATCAGGATGAAATATATCAGTGATTTAATGTTATGGAGCATGTTTTCCACTGTCTGAGCTGTAATCGTTGGACTGATGAATAGAAAACAGGTTGTCCTTGGTGTGGAGACAGCTGGGGAAGCGGGGAAGCATAGTGATCTCAAGGCAGTGAAATCCACTGTTGGTTTCCCACATTTGATTGCAGTAGCTTTATTGAGAAAATTGGGCATGCTTCACATTTAAAAACAAACAAACCAACTCAATTTTTGCTTGATGGAATAAGCTTGGCATACTAGTATCAAGCTAGTGGAATGGACTATTTTTCTGAATGTATTGCTGCCTTGTTAGTAACTTTGTCTTTTATGTGTTGTATTAATTTAGTGACGTTTTTCATCTGAATTCATATGTTATAGCCTGAGGTGGCCTGTCTTTTCTGGCTAGCTCTGCCTTAAATTTAAAAATTTTATTGCTTTATCCTCTAAAATGTAAATAAAGAGTTGGATTTTAACTTGTGTGGCTTTAAGAGTTGAATTAAGCTGTCATTATGAAACTTTATCCGTGCAGTCATATCTGTACAGTGGAAAGATGAGCAGGAATAGAGGAAAGTATTGTAAATAAAACATTGTGGACAGAGCCATTTGTTTTATAATTCCTCATTGCTCAGATGTTTTTAAAAAGATTTCTTTGCAATCCTAGGTATCCAAATAATATTAACACATATCTCATATCCACAGTAGTGAGACTTACATTGCACAAAGCAATGCAATATATTGAATATAATTTAAGATACCTTCTAGACCCTCTTCTCTGCTTTCAGCTTTCTAATTTGTCTTCATGGAGACCACTTCCAGCACTTCCAACAATGAATGGTTTTGCTGTCCAAAGAAACAAACAAAATCTCCTTTATAATGAAATGTGTCCTACTTTTTCTGTTCTCAGCTATAGAATTACAGAACAGTAGTAACTCATGGGTTACAGATAGATTTAAATTTCCTTTTTATGCATCTACTGTAATATAAATATGGGAGTAAAAGTATTTGTTTCTGTATTTGGGATGCAGACAACAGAAGGTGTAGTGTGAGTGAAGGATCACTCATTTATAAGTTTCTGATGAGTATGGAATCTAAGTTTTATAGGCTGACTGAGGTAGAATTTTAATGGAAAATGGAGCAGTGATCTTAGCCTCCCTCAGCTGGTTCTCTAAGGAACCACCTTGTTACAAATATAAGCAAGTCCAGAAAAGGCCAAGGTTATTATTATCTAAACTGATGTGCATAATCCAGTCAGACTCTGATAATGTACGGGATATAATACAAATTAGGAAGATTGATGAAGTGTAAAAATACTTCCGTTTTTATTTCTATATATCAATATTTTGATATATCAACATTTTCTTGGTCAGTAATTGATTTTTCAGCATTTATGGTATATAAAAACAGGCAGTTGAGTGGGTACTTTTACAGAGTGGAAAAATTCATTGTACAAGTCAAGAATGATTTCTAATATAGAAATATATTCTAATATATTTTAAAATATAAATTATTTCTTTAACACCACCTACATCTAACCTCTGTTATGTGTGTTTTGTGGAATTCTTATCTTTTTTTCATTAAAATTCTACTTCTGGCTCTTATATCTGCTCTGTTTGGTTTTAATATCCTAGCTACAGAGTAGAGTTCTGTTAAAAACAAACAAACAAAAAGTTTTGTTATACTTTTGGAGTCCTATACTTTTCTGAGTATGGCTTTAACAGAAGGTGACTTTTCTAACAAAGTTCAGAAAATGATCTCTTATGGAAGTATTAACTTTTATCAAGGCCTCCCACATGTTGCACTCACAAAGCCCTGTTCATTGTGAGTGTGAGACCCAAACCTGGTCTGTCACTTGTTAGAAGATTATTTATTCAGGGAGTTTTGAGTTCTAAGTAGTGTGTGCATATCTGGTGACACACTTTGTCTCATTATGTGGTAGCAGTAGTAGCAAGTAATAAAGGCTTTCTAATGGCAACCACTGCAGTTAGACTTTTTATGTTTTATTGCAGGTTTTTTTATCCAACTCAGGACAAATTAACAGTCCTTTAAAATGTTCATGAAAACTATGAAAAGTAAAAAAAAAAACTGCTAAAAGAAGTGAGAAGCTTTTATCTTGTCTTCTGTTGCTATGTGCTATATAGACAGAAGTAGACTATACTTTTTGTTGCAGTGTAGCTCATTAATTCCCTTGGTTGCTTTTGCTTTCTTAAAAAAAATACTTTTTTCAAACTGACACTGAACAACGCTAAAGGGCTGATGAACTCAGTAACCAGAGGATGATCTTACTGGTCCCAGTTCAGCACTGACTGGGGTGGAAACAGCTCCTATGGCTTCCTCGGGAGTGGAGCTGTGCTCTGATTGGAAAGTATTTGGGCTATGTGTGTTAAGTGTGTGATGAAAAGTCCAAGCACAAAAGAGTGAGGCTTTCAAATAATAAAGGTGTTACAGAATTCTTAGAAATATAAAAGTTTTGTCAGTTATTTAAAGAAAAAAATGTCCTGGTGCTGTTCTCTGACAAGAGACTAGAAAAAGTAATTTTCTAGAAGAATTCTCTAAGTTTTTTAATCAGTGGCTTCTGTTTCACAATGTTTATCCTTATTGGTCAAGCTTATAAAATGGGTTGGATGAGAAAGACGGTGTTATGCCAGACTGGATGAGGCTTTGAGCAACCTGGTCCAGTGGGAGTGTCCCTCCCCATGGCAGGGGGCTTGGAACTAGATGGTTTTTAGGGTCCCTTCCAATCCAAATCATTCTACACTCCCCCCTTTTTCTTTTTTTCCTTTTTTTTTTGTGGTTTGTTGAGAAATACCAATGCCCACTGAACTGGGGCAAAGATATTTTACTATTTTGTGTTGTCTTCCTACTATCCTCTTCCTCTGGTGGCCACAGGATGTGGGAACAAGAACGGAGATTTGACTGATTGAAGTTAACAAACATTTTACCTATTGAAGTGAAGGTTCAGCAAAAGCCCAGCTGGGCTGTTCCACTCCTCCAGATTTTGCTGTAAAATGGTGTGACAGGGTGGGAGGGTGTTTGAATTGCAGACCTCTGCATGTTTCCCAGTGGAGGTGCTCACCTTAGATGGTGAAATGTTAGTTTACTGACAGAAAATTTGCTTTTCTGAGTTGATTTTTTTGGAGCAGTAGTTAACAGGTTACCAATGTCCACATCAGCTCACCACAATGAAAGTCAATAGATATGGTGTGTGATTTATTTTTTTTCCCAATTTTTTTCCTTTCCCCACTCTTTGACTGCAACAGTGACAAAACACCGCTTATTGCATTGGGTCTTCTTTAATTCAAGCAAAAATGGGTACAGAATCTGAGCGTACAGTATGTCTGAAGTGGATTTAAAAATATTTGTTAAATGTTACTATCACATAGCTGAAATAATTACACTTCAGGGCAATGTGCCTTTCTAATGCCTCATTCTGCGATTATTAGTAATGCA